AGAATGTTTCCTGTCTATTTGCAATCCAGCAAGTTCAAAATCAGCTTTCCATTGTGCCTAGGTCTTACAAAGGATATAAGAAAGTTTTGCCAACAAATATTTTAATTCGAAAAGCAGACAGAAATTTTCAAATTTGAAAGCAGACAAGACACATAATAGATTCTTCCCATTTATTTTGATCATTGACTAGTTATCCGGAAATAAGCATTTGGAAATCCAAAAAGTGCACCCGAGTTGCCCAGATTTGATCAGAAAATAGAGAGTGCCACCTTAAATATATTGACCAAATCTTCCATTTCCTCATTCCAGATATTTTTAGTCAAATCCTTCATCGAAATGGTGACTGGCAAGTGGGCTCCCAAAATTATTCGCGAGAGTTTTGTGCCATTGGTTTTCACATCTGGATCTCCTTCCACTACATAAGTTACCTGAAAAATGCGGCAACATTCTAGATTATAACAGTGCCTTTAAACAACTGCAACTGCATATGTAAGATTTAGGATAAAATTTCAGCGAAATTTGGCACCTTTTTGATACCTTTCCAAATCACTGAATCATGTGTTCTGAGCATCACTGAGTTAATTTATGGTTACACACCCTTAACAGCCTAAATCTACACTTCACTAGTCATTTCTGTTTCTGCGGTACAGTGAATCTGTCATCCGTTTTGTTATTTTCACTGGCTCAGTAAAAATGGCAATCATTAATAAAAATGCAACTGTCATTTTGCTGCTCAAAATAGTGCTATAAGCGAAGTGGCGTTTTAAATAAAGGGTTCTCTTCGAAACGAGATACTGATAAGATGGTGCATACAACGTCATGGCCAGCTTCCACAAGAATATCCGCAATTCGTCCAAAGAAATTAACGTGACTGTGGGCTAATCTCGGATTATAAATTAAAATCTTGTGGCACTGTGCATTATTGAAGCATAATGAAAGCAACAGCAGAAGAAAGTGCAGACACCTCCACCTGAGGACAAGTCCGGAAATCATCCTGCAACAATACAACTGAACCGAAGCATTATCTACACAGTCTTCCATTTATTTTATTTTGCGTTTCTAAACAAGAAAAAAGGACCAGGCTTTTTTGAGCTAGGAAATGAGTTGCGCAACAACGGAAGCAGCATTATTCTGAAGCTAAAACGCGTGCTGCAATGTCAAAATCAACTCTTCGGTTTCACGTGGCAAGCATTTCACCATGAACTGTGTGTGGCCCAGGACAGGGCAGGTGGAAAGCACGGGAGCAAGGACTGATTTTTCGGCAGGAAAGATGCGCGCACTCAGAGCAATCCCGCTACTGATAAGGTGGTCGCCCCGAACGCTTATTTTACTGTGCCGGAACGAGAGCGTTGTTGACTCACAAGTGCAAGGCAAACAAACAAGAAGCACGATTTTTTCCTTTGTTTGTTGAGAATTTCGGCAACGCATTGTTCCTTTCGTCGCAGGCTTAAACTACTCAAACTCACAGGTGCTTCATCCAAAGAAAGAATGTCTTACCGGTAAATTTACAAGTGCTTCCACTGCTTCCAGGATTTGCTTAACAAACATGGCATGCAATACATTTGACAGGCCATATATATGCGTATGCTCATAGATGCGCATATATATATATATAT